CAACTGTCACCCTTCACTGTTAACCCGTCGGCGTATACCTAAAGCGCAGGCGCGGTTACCATTCCATCTTCACCCATTAAAAAAATACTCATAGGTAGGTATTTAGTTTGTTGGGAACTTTGAGTAGTTGTAGCAGACGTAAACATATAGACATAGATTTAATGTATTGCGCCAGATAAATAAATAATTGGCAAAATATAAACAAAATTGTAATTTTTCCTTTACGTACTTTGTAACACTTTGTTTATCAATGTGTAAGGTTACCTTCGGTTTCAAGGTCGGCAATATTTTAATATTCGTGTAGTTGCAAGGCACGTATAATACGAGTAAATAAGTATCTATTATATGTAGACAAGGTAACTCATCAGGCGACTCATCACCACTTGTTGCGATTAATTCGAGCAATTGCAATATGAGTTTGAGTTTAAGATTTTGAGTTTAAGAATATTTATTAAAAAAAATATATATATATATATATATATATATATATATATATATATATATATATATATATATATATATAAATGTAAAAGTGATTTTTGGCTATTTGTTACCGTGTAGCGCCTTAACGGCTTAACCAGTTACTATGTAATTAGGTAAACACGTATAATACGGGTTGAAGAAGGATATAGACTATTTATCCGGACGAAGTCGTGAGTAAGAGCTAGTATAAAATAGAGCGTGATATACCTTAATAGGGCGTCGCTACTTTTCTGATTTTAGATTATACTCGTAGTTGTTACGGTCGACGAAATGTAATCAAAATGAGATGAGTGCTATCTAGTGATCTCAACAACAGGCGGCAATGTATATGAAATACTGCTGTTTAGGTACCACGTTATTTGGAATTAGATATTGACTGTATAATTAACAGACTTGTGATTTCGGCATAGAATAGGCTTTTCTAGAGGTGACTAAAGAAATTCAACAGGGAGAGTAGTAGCGTCCTAATTAAAATATCCCTGAAGCATAACTGCGGTTACCAACCCACCTGCTAAATGTGACAGTAGTTTTCACAAAATCCCCTAAAGGGGAGATCTATATACAGCAGTAGATATCTGATATAATATGATGTATAATTAAACCTAAACTAAAACTAAATATTAGAATATTTAGTTTTATATTTTCACGAAATATTTTAACAAAAATTATTTTCAATACTATGTAAATTTTAATTATCAAAATTATATTTACTTGTTGGTTGCAACACAGATTAAGAAAATAAACATATTGTTTGTATAGTATTGTACCTATTGGAAAGCAAAGCCTGACCGATCCAGATCTTACAGCTGAAAGTAAAATTTGTTGAACACGTATAAGTTTTCTTTTATATATTTTTTAAGTTTTCTATCATAGCTTCTTCGCTAAGTTTTCAGGCATTTTCTTCTAAGTATAATCACACTACAGGAATCCAACTCCCAATTTCTATTAGGAGTATTAATAATAATTTTATCATTATTATCAGAAGACTCAATACAGGTTTGTCGTCTGTGTTAACTAACTAACTAATTAACTAAATAACTCTACATATGTGGTGCCTCCACATAATGTGTAAAGTAGAAAAGATGTTAGATAATGAGGAAAGCAAACATACATTTTTATTTATTTACATTTGTCAGGGAATTTCGCGGCTGGCATTAGACCGCAATAGAAAACGAAAATCAATGGCCATTCTGTGTTACTGTGGCATAGACACAAAAAGAAATATAAATATATTGTTTCATTTATGTATTTTCTTGTTTTATATTTTTGTTCTCTTTTTATGCATGTTTGTCCGTGTCTGTTATTATTTGTGTGCTTGTGTGCAAATATATTTTCTATTACTTGAAACTAAATTATAAAATTCGAGTAATGACTATTCAGGATTAAACCTTCATTTTAGCTATATTTTTAACATAGATATTAAGTCTAAATTTTAATTTATGCTAGACTTTTTACACTGTAAGCATATTTTGATAACATTTGTAGGAACAGCTGCGCATTGGTCACAAACAAACATCACTTTTGTGTACTGAATGACTAAAATGGGTGCCTAGGCATGTGTCATGTTTAGTGAGTCTATGTTAGTGATTTTTTTTTTTTAATTCACAGAAAATAAAATATTTTTCATAGCTGACTGTAATGGTGAAACGTTTGAGAAAATACTCAACCTAATAGTTTTAATTATTAAATCCAAGCATTTTTAATTTATTTTATAAAGAAATAAAAAGTGCTTATAACGCAATGAGGTTTTCGTTAATAAAATTAATTTAGTTCTATAATAGTAGACGTAAATGGTACCGTTGATGACAGTTTGTACAAGGTAACACCATCCATAATAAAGTGTGTAATATTGTTTCGGCGTGAAGGTAATGATGAATGATAGTATAATTTAATAAACATTACATGTCCAGTATATAATAATAGTTTTGTCTCTTATCATTACTTGTAGAATTAGGATTTACTTATAAAAAGTGTCTTATATTTCAAATTGGAATAGACGAATTAACGTGAATACATTAACAAAATTACATTAGAAAATTTGGGTTGTGTAATGTTGGAGATTATCTAGAAATGCCTGTCTTATATATAAACTTAGGTAAAGATGTGTACTATTTTTCCTAATGGAAATGTCGCAATACCTTCGGTATATGAGAAAAATGGACAAAACATATACACTTAAATTGAATTTGAAAACAAAGTGGAAGGAATATAAAATCAACAGTCATTTGTTATCACGAGAAGGCTGACTTTAGAAAGACTTTATGAGCATGCATGTTAGGTACATGATAAGTATATTTACTATTGTATTGTACAAATATTATTTAGGCTTGCATATGGAATTTTTGATACCATATTTTGTTCTGTATTAAGTAAGTATTTTATCTTGATAATTTGAATATTTATATATTTACAACGCGTACAACGCGGTTTCAGAGATGTTTTCTCCCAGGAACACTTAGATTATGGAATGAGCTCTCTGCCGAGGTTTTCCCAAGAGACTATAGCATGGGGTTTTACAAAAGGGGGGTAAAGAGGTTTCTTCAGGAGCGGCGCAGCGCACTTAATACCTCTGGTATTGCAGGCGTTCATAGACTACGGTAACCGCTTACGTACGTTAACCATCATGTGGGCCGTATGCTTGTTGGCTACCTCAGTGGTATAAAAAAATAACTTTTAAAAATACACTATTTTTATCATGAAATATTTAATAATAGAATGCAATAATGGATTCGCACTGAAATATGTACTCGCAATTAATAAAATGCGTAAAATTAAATTTGCAATATTGATTAATAATTATGCAGCATACTGACAACAGACACATAACGAAATAAAAAACAAAAATGGGCAGCATGTAGGTATAAAACTTGTCGATAACATTGTATTATGCAGTATACCTAATCAGGGTACTTAACCTTCCTATAGGTACTTACTGTAACAAATTTGCATACCATCGTACTCGACACGTTGTGGCGCGCAGTTATTATGCGTGTGGAGTAGATATGCTGTGTTATTTTGGCATCTTTATGTGTGTTCCAACTTTGTGTTACATATTGTTGTGAACGTTATGTAACACAAAGTTGGAATCATGCATGAAAAGTATTTGCTTCTATGGTTTACTTAATTCTCCGAATAAATGCGTTAACGATTATAAAGTCAAGATTTTCTAGTATAATTCTTTTTTACAATCTATTGCATTTATTCTTATATACATAGGTCCTGTATTAATTTTCTGAGGAATGAAGTCATAGTTTTTTCTTTGTAAGCAATAAATTGTTCGTCGTGAAGCAAAATTTACTCGTAGACACGCGATTCCGTAAATTCAAGCATTTACAACTTAATGTGTCTACGACATGTCTTGTTGATCATCAGTATATTTTGTTATGATTGCTGTCTCTATTTTTTTGAGTAAAATGTATTTGCGTTCAATTTTTTTTTCAATGGATGACAATGGACATGGTAACCTGTGCTAACGGTATACGCTGGCAGGGCACCAGTGAGGGATGAAAGGTGAGAATGGAGAGGCAGGTCAGTTAGCCCATCGTGATGGATACACCTGGAATTCAGCACAATGGTTTTCAAGGAGGACCACGTGGAGGTTGACCTGACAGCTTATATTGCTAGTAATGGGACTGGTAGTCCGCATTACTAACAATCCCTTTCCCCCATATGTTTAATATTAATACTTACTTAAAAGTACCTATAGCAAATAACCCAGACATAAAAGGTCACGAGAAAACTAGTAATCGACATAATCGGATGTCCTGATTGATAAACTTCAACAAAACGGAAGATCCACCTCCTGTATATTGTGCCATAAATCTCATTTAGCAAATCCTCTGAACCGACATTACGACCTGTAATCAACATTTGAGATCAGTGATTATGAGTAATGTGATGACCACAGGTAACCGCACCCAAGGTCATGGTGTAAAACAAAATATCTACCTTATAATTAATTCATTAGTGATGATGATAATCGCAGCACAATATGGCGGGCGTGGGTTGAAGCTCTGCGCGTGAGTCGACGCGACGCGGCGCCATTGTCCGATGCTTCCGGAAAAGCGAAATGGGTACATAGGATCACAGGATCTACGACGTTAATATTTTTTAAGATTTTGAATGATATTTAACCAAAGAAATATACAACTGACAATTAAGTACATTTTTTTCTTCGGTGTATCATTAATTGAAATAGTAATTATTTTTTAGTTTGTATTTTACTCGATTGTTTCTCTTTATCTTTCTATAATTGACAAAACTTATTGCCATAATTTGTTCTCCATATTCTCTTTGTATTTGATGCTACAAAATACCTAAATAGGTATGCTCGTTTCATAAACTGTAATGATTTTCGTTGGGTCACCGACGTCGGTAAACATGCTATGGAAAATTAGCGATGCGTAGCGATGGTGTGATTTGCTCACATCGATGCTCTCCCATTGTCGTCCCCCTCTAAATGTGATTTAACTGAATTATGGTGTAGATATGTTCACTATTCGGTTTTGACTGTCCAGTGGTGCGCATGTGCTCTCGCCTCCAGTACTGTGAACTGTTCCCTGTGTGATCTCTTGGGACAAGATAGTGCGTGGACCTGTGGGTGTTCTAGTTAGCAAGTGGTGCCTGCGTGCTACGAGAAGTCTACGTTGTTTCGTAGCAGACCGCCTTACGTGGAAAGCTCAAGTAAGTGCCCACGCGCAGCCATTGTTGTACTGGGCGGATTATTGTAACAAGTTTTACTAGTACTTAATTATTTAGTTGGTTTATGTTATACAACTTGCCTAACTTATGCGGTAACGGAGTAAAAATATAATATGTTATTATTAGTATACATCTTTAGGATGTCGCAAGATTAGAGTACCGTAGAGTAAGAGTTGCCGAGTGGTCCCGGTACAGAATGGTTAATGGTTTTTTCTCATACGTGTCGTAAGAGACTTAATGGACGAGAGATGGGCAGCAGCGTTCCTCTTTAAACATCATCAAAGCTAAACTGCGTTTGTTAATACGCCCCAGTAGGGGGAGGCCTATGTCCGGCAGTGGGTAGTTAAAGGCTAAAATGGGAGAGTATAATGAGGGAAGAGAACATTAAATAAAATCCTATACTGAGCTTCCCGACTAGTATTGTAAGAAGGTTAATATCTTTCTCTTATATATTAATACTCGTACTAAGAGATCAGAGAATATATTAGCTAACTTAGAGACCGACTCAACCCGACTGAGGGATATATCTGTGTGTCATCTCATTTTTATGTTAATGGGTTGTAGCAGTTATGCCAGAAAGAAAATATGTCAGAAATTTTACACACCTACATATATAAGGTAATATTTTTCATTTGGCAACTAATGTGTATAGAATTGAAATCAAGTAGTAGGCAATTTTATCAGTGAACTTAAGAAACTTCAAGACAAAAATGATTACAAACTTGCAAGACTTTATTGTAGAGTCTCAAGAAAAGACAAACAAGCATTTTTTGTATTATTTCCAATATTATAGATATCATTTAATTTTATGAAGACTATAAAAATGTCATTCATTAATTCAGTTAGAATTGAAAACAGGCTCAAAAGGGCTAGAACCCAATGCCGTAAAAATCATTAAAAAAGAATTTTGAAGGAACTGTTCTACCAGTAAAACTGAACAAGAAAGAGGGAACATGGGTTGAAAAATGTAAAAAAGTTTTGAACTTTCCGTACAACAGGGTAAATTATTATTAAATGGATTACATGATAATGATCATTTTGTATAAAAGGTTTATACATCTATTATTCCATTATTTATTTTATTTCAAATTGTTTGCGGAGTGGACAGATAAAATTCTGTATCCTTACATACGAGTACATTTGCTTCATTAACTTTGATAACATTGAATAATATAGTTTGAACATTAGACCTAGTTTTATTATTAATTGTAGTAAGTATTCGATTAGTAGAGTTTGAGTTATGTAGGAAACAGTCATATGATAAGGACGTTTCAAGTAATATAGCGTAACTAGCTTTCATGTAACCTGCACAGGAAAAAGATACTTATTAGTTCCTATTCGTAGATAGTCTCTTTCTCTTCTATTATCTAAACACACTTTGCAATTTAGTATTGTCTGTTATATCAACCTTGTATGTGATAAGCTTTGCAAATGCTCAAGACAAATGTTTAAATATAATTCGACTTCGATGTATTTTTGAAGATTTTTTTATCATTGGATTTCGTATTCTGTTACTCCAGAGAAAACTGCGAGACAGTTTATTAGAGTTTCAATGTCATCATCTGTTTTATTATTAATTGTTTGCGATGGTAGTTACTGGCTTTCTATTGAGTAGTAGTAGGGCGGAGCCGGTGCAACGTTGTGTGACTTAATTATGCAACCGCATCAGTGTGCATCGAACACGTGTGTATACTTGGCGCCATAAATTTGTTTAATTCGCGTTAAAATGGGAAATATTTTTAATAGGTATAAGATTTAATATATAGATATCATATACTTCAAGATAGAGAATTGAGTGTCAATAACGGGCCGAAATTCAGTCAACCAAACGTCATTTTGGCTGACTGAGTTTAACAACATACCTACATATTTTTCTAAACGCGCCATTTTTAGTACTGCAAGTGATTCGATTGAATTACTCACTAGGATATGGAATGTCTTTATAGTAATTTTGATTATAAGCCCCTGTTTATAATTAAAATTACAGACGATATTATACTATAAAAAATAAAAGTATACGATCACATCACATCAATATACATATGTATTTATGATGCTATTGGATGAACTGTTAAAAACAAATAAAAGTGTTACAATATCTTATAAATCTCTTAAGAATAATCACCTGTTTTTATTTTTTTTTTACAATTGGACAGACAAATTTAGTAAACAATCTTGTTATATATATTTTTTATCACAAAAACACAGAAAAATAATAATAACTAGATTAAAAACAGTTTTGTGTTATTTGATTATGTATTATTTAAATTAATATTATTTAGTTTTTCGTTACTATAGTTATTTATGACTCAATATATATATATATATATATATATATATATATATATATATATATATATATATATATGCGTTTCGGTATATTTTATAGTAGAATATAGTAATAAACATCGTAGACTATATCGATGTACTTTAAACTTATTGCCATTATTTGGATGTCTAGACCCTATCCCTGAACAATTATTCATTTTATGACTTATGGTCTGCATATTATATTATGCATGAATTTGTATTTAGTCATAATTTTTTTATTTTTCTTCTAATCCTTTGTTTGCAACCACTTTTAAACTCATCTTTTTCTTTTAAACTTTTTAATCACGTGATTCTCATTTCGTATATTAATAATATATTCATTCAATAACAACATTAATATAAGTTGACCATAATTAGGTATTGACATAGAAATAATTACTCTATAAGATGATGTTTTAAGAGGGATGCTGTTGCCCATTGGTCGACCACTAAGTATTTTTAGTACGACACCCACAGGAAAAGTAAGGGTGGCTCATTATATGCCGGGACTACATGGCATTTAAATATAATATTTTATTTTCACTTTATTCTTGTAGATAAGGTAGCTTACTTAGAGTGATTATATACCTAGTTTCATTGAACAAATCATTCCGTCCTTATTTGTTTTCCTCAGCTATTTCAGTAACAAACAGTCAAAAAGACCCAAATATCTTTATAAACTTTCATTTGTAAAATTAGAATACTAAAAGTGTACAAAAAAATTCAACTGTTATTTGGATTTTTAATTTGGATAGTTTATGATTACTTATACAAATATGAAGAACTTACTTTCCTTTCTTCGAACCAGCAAGTTCTAAAATTTTCCCTCTGCATGCTCTTATAAGGCACTCCTCTGCAAAGTTTGTTTCATCTTCAGGTTTAGCTTGTATTTTATGCTATTGGTCATTTGATCTGTCAGTGTTAGAGTTTTAATATGTATATTATTTTTATAAATTCCACACGGTGATTCATTGTTCGTATTCAATTTATAGTAATTTATTTATTTAAAAATAAAACAGCTGCCGTTTTACTTTGTTGACTGTATTTCTATAGGATGTCACGCAAACAACAAGGACAGTGTTCTCAATACAATACTCTCATTACAGTCATTATTTATGTTCATCATTGCTTTATTGAACCCATACATCTACCTAAAATTAATAGGCTCCTATATATATATATATATATATATATATATATATATATATATATATATATATATATATATATATATATATATATATAGTTTAATAGCTAAAAAAAGATTTTAAAATACACAGCGTTCACATATTATTTATTATGTTTAAAAAAGCTTTAGTTAAGAAATGATCGATGATAGTGTGAACAGCAAATCTAATGTTACAATGATCACACACTTACACAAATACATACAAGACGAGATATACTCACACATTTATTATCATGCATAGACACTTTTATTATGATATATAAAATTTAAGTATTATTATATGTAAAACAAATACCTAACTGTGTTTCAGTTTGAAGGGTGGGATATGGCGTGAATTTATAGGGTACAGAGGAATAACACCTGAGTCCTCAGGAATGGCAACATATGGGGAGTACCATGGGCGAAACAGTATACTCTGTTATGTCCATGTTACTGCTCATGTTATAAGCGACGGTTACCACTCCCATCAGGTGGGCCGTCAGCTTGTTTGCCATTTTAAGTTGTATAAAAAAAAAATCATGCTGATTAATAAAAATGTTGAATTGTAAAGATAATAATGTAAACCTGTAAACCCTGTAATGTAACTACCTCTGTATGAAGAAATATTTTTTTAAAAGTAAATTAATGATTGGCATTTGCTAGTGAAATAGAAAGAGAGAAATAAAGAAAAAAGAAGAGAGCATGAATGCATCTTCAAAAATACATAAAAATAGGTTAACAAAAAACAAACAAACATAAAAATAGGTAACGTATACTGGTATGTATTTGACATGGAATAGAGTTTTAATTTCTGTAAGTCTGCATTTTACATGATACCTTAGTTAATTTTGAACAGATTTTGAAAGCTCTTTTTCAATCAATAGAGTATACCTACTCCCGTGTATATGTCTATCAAATATATATATATATATATATATATATATATATATATATATATATATATATATATATATATATATATATATATATATATATATATATATGTCTATTAAAATAGGAATAGCTACCGTTGAAAAGGCTGTCTTTTTTGCTGTGCAAATTTTACTTGTATTGTTTTATATCTTATATTACAATGAAATCTGACACTCATTGCAATATTTAACAAGAAAATTATAAAAATAAAATTTATACTGTAGATATTTTGTATTTAATACACTTTACATTAAAAAGTATTTTCAAGAATTCTCAATTGAGAAAGTAGTCCTTTTAGATGTAAAAATTTAGTTCACAGTTGATTTACATCATTTGGTAGCCTCTATCTTATTAGCGTATATGGTCCTGAACATATGTATTTTTCAAGTCGATTTATTGTTTTGGTATCTACGAGTATGTTGTAACATTGTGTATTCCCATCCACTCTAATACGGGATGTAGGTTTTGGCCCTTTCCCACGAGCCCATCCTAGCCCATCCCATGTTTCTTCAATAGCTTGCATACAGTTTTCACACTATTTCGTCATGGTTGGACGGGCGCAATGAAAAAA